GCTATAAGTTTTGCGTAATTGGAGATATCAACTTTCTCTTTCAATTTAATCATGGTTTTCAACATACTGTAAGTCGACCATAAAGTCGAAGGCTTCTTTTCCTTAGATAATTCGCCAAAATACGCCAACAAAACGGTCTCCGAGGCAGTATTTCTCGTTCCTTTCTGGCTACACCATGCTTCGAATATTTGAAAAGCCTTTTCGTACCGAAATTTGCTTTTTGCTGGAAGCAAACTCTCTCCAATCCTGTCTGCTGCTTCTTTTAATTCAGGTGGGGTACAATCCATCGCTTCATCTTCACTTTCCGAAATCATTTCTTTGGGGAGAACGGGGAGAAATCTAGTGAAAATCTATTATTTCCGCAAAAATACTGAGCGAAAACTACCGTCGTTAAGGCGTTGTTGATCTTATCTATGGTTGTTGATTTTGCGGTTTCCTGTGGTTTCGTCTTTTGTTTTGGCCTTTACAGGGCCTTTGAGATCGTCAAAATTGATGACATTGACAAAAAAAGTGAAATATTTTTTTCTAAGGCCAGTTTTACACTATATGAAAATTTCGTATAACAGAATCTTTAGTTTTTGCATCAGAAAATTAAGGGTTGAAAATAAAAAAGTATACAAACCTCGACGGAAAACTTCATTTCTGTCTCGAGGTTGAGTTTATCTCGACGCTTCGCGTCTCGATAAACTATAATAACCTCTCGACCAGCAATGAAGTATTTTCCGTCTCGGATTGTAATATACTATTACATTATTAGCCAGGTAAAACAGTTTTTACTGGCGATTGAAGGAAATGACTAGCGAGCCCTCAGGCGAGCTTGTCACCTTCAAGAGCCAGTAAAAACTGCTACCTGGCGTATAATGTACAATAGTTTATTTGTTACTCATTTGTAAAAAATATAGGGAAAAATAAAAAATTGATACATAAAATTAGAAAAAAAAGAAATATTTTTTTTTTTTGATTTTTTGTCATACAAGCCTAGTACCTATACCTATAAGAACGAGATGTTGTTAAGTCGTTGTTTTTAGTTATAATCCGGTTTTCTGGAAGATTTGCATTTTGCAATTTTTTTCCAGAAATGAATGTGTCAGAAGATATTATTAATGAAACTACAGTCGTAGCTAACAGTTAATCACCAGATAAGGACTCCAGAAGGTACCTACATACAATTATTCTTGTGAAAAAGCTGATTTTTTAAAAATAAATAATTCTACTGACTTGTAAAAAGTTTTTACAGTTTAGCTGTCAATTTTACAAGTCAGTAGAGCCAGTGCCTTGTAAAAATGAATTTTCGTTGTTTATGTTTTGACTTGATAAGTGACGTTTAACAAATGAGTGACAAATAAATATGTTTTATTCTGATTGCAATATATACAAAACAATACAATTAAATACAATTTACCTCATATTTACATGCAGAAATGTTTTATTTATTCTAAATGAAAATATTGATTACCTACACTGCAAAGGTAGGTAGGTAGACACAATTTTCCATTAGAATAAATAAAACATTTCTGCATGTAAATATGAGGTAAATTGTATTCAATTGTATTGTATTCTATATATTACAATCAGAATGGAACATATTATCAAACAAACTAAAAATTTACTGAGTGTTCCATTTAAAAAAATGCTTTTTATGTGCATAACTGTCAAAATATATTAGTCTTTTGTTTTTTGTCCACCCTATCTAAAACTTGAAGAAAAACCCTACAGTATGTTTTTTTATTTATTTAAATAACTTCAAAAATAAAGAAATTATGATAGTTTGAAATGTTATCAAGATAAAATGACCACCCTGTACATCATACGCCAGGTATCAGTTTTTACTGGCTCTTGAAGGTGACAAGCTCGCCTGATGGCTCGCTAGTCATTTCCTTCAATCACCAGTAAAAACTGTTTTACCTGGCTAATAATGTGAAATACTATTACTACGTTGTGTCGAATTTTTTTATTGATGCTGATTGTTATTGATCTTTCCCATTTAAATTGCGTTTGTCAAAAATAATATACACTTTGACAGATTTCTGATATCAATGCGTTTTAAATGGAAAAGCGGGCATCAATGTCAAAAATGACAATTCTGGAGGCACCTGCGGTGCGCTATAACTCTGGATCCCACGCGCTGGGCTTCAACTACTGGATCATGGATCACTTTAGGTGTGAACCCCTTCCAGTATAGACCACGAGCCGCTACTGCTACATGTAAATAAATTGTGAAATTCAACACCTCATTTTTGATATAGGTATACATAAAAAATAATATTTAGCAGGGGGCGGCAATTCACATCTTTGCCCCCCCTCGAAAAATTCGTAGATCCGGCCCTGAAATAAATTAAAATGTCCACTAATAATAGAAATATTTATTTATTGGTACAGGGCAAACTTGCATGGCATTTAGAATTGCAGAGTATTTTAGAGAATCTGCACAAACATCTTTTGGTGGAACATTTTCGAATGCAATTGCATTTCTCAAATCCTTAGCCACTACATAACGAGAATTTACGCACTGCACTTCTTACGCTAATTCCCTGAGATGCAACATCTCCAGGACTCAAGAAATTTTCGCTAGTTTCAGGATATCGATTTCTGTAACGTATCAGTGGTATTCGTACTTTTACCAATGCGGTGTGGTAAATCCTAAGATTTACTGTTTGTGTCCGGTAAAAGTTCGAAATGAAAGCAAAATAACTAGTTTTCGGGCTTTAACCACTTGCTTTTGGTAAATCCTAGGTTTAACGCGCTTATCCTAGGTTTTACCGAATTTCGGGCATTTACAGTAACATATATAAGCTACCATAATTCCTCAAGGGCCAAGGACTTGAAAAGTAGAAACATTTTTACATCTGCTTCCTCCATGTCGGCACAAGTCCATCCAGACTGGTTTTGACATTATGTTAAACATTTGGTCCAAAATGGAGCTAAATCCGTTTCAGTACGATTCTCGGACACAGATGTTGTAATAATAGGAATATACTTTTTTTATATATTGAGCTCCTTAGGCCTTGAGGAATTATGATATCTATATGGGGTTAGCAAATCACAAAGATATATTACAGGTCATAACGTTGTAAATCATTTGGGACCAGAAAAATCGTAAGCACTGCGTCGCTTTAACCCTTTTACGGGGTGCGACACTACTTCCTTTTTTGCATTGAAAGGAAAAAACAGAGCCTGGAAAGCATATGAGAAGATTATCCGGAGGCAACCAACCTTCCATTGTATATCATTAATAGATGGTACCACAGATATACCACAAAATATATTCAAAATTTTAAATAAATTTACTATTACACTATATGATGCAAGAAGCAAACTTGAAAAAGTTAATGAATTGAGAAAGGTGCAGTTTTGTAGTGGAGAACGACCACTAACCTGAAGGATGGGGTTGGAATTTAACAAACAACCGCTGGGAGCCAGCTACCACAAATTTGATGAGCTCTAAGGGGACTAGAGAAGTGTGGATGTGAAGGTCAATGTGAAAATAACCTAACACATATTCGTATCGGAAAGCTATACACTGTGGGCCGAAATAAAGGAGTACATTTTTTAATTGAAAATATTTTTTTTGGTTTTTGGGCGATTTAATTTCTTTTTGCAGGGCTAATAATCTAACATGTCCTCAACATGACTGTAAACTTGAAAGCAAAACTAATGTACAGGGTCGGACCAATAAAAAAATGTATATAACAGTGCATTTGAACTCGTTGCAAATGAAAACTGTCTTAGCTAAAATTGTACTAATATGCTTTTTCGGTAGATAAACTATCCAGAACACTTCAGTAAAAAGTAAATTTTCCGAAATTACCGGATTCGCGAAATATCATTTTTTTATTAAATAACATTTTAACAAATAACACATTTATGAAAACAGTTTAGTAATTTTAAAACTTAGAGTAAAATATTATGAATGTGGCCACCATTATTGTGGTGAACCAGATCGATCTAATCCGGTCAATCGAATCGGCTATAGAGGAGAGTGATATAGGCTATTTTTTATCCCGAAAAAAAAGTACGGTTGCGTAAAACTCTGATACACTGGAACGCCTATAAACAGCCCGAGGTGCTCTAGAGCAGCTCTGGAAGCTTAAAATGCGTCACTGAACTCACTGGCAAGCGACTCTGATATCGGATTAAAAAAAAAAAAAATAAATGGAAAATCAACAACAAAATTTGAAAAGAAGTGTATTATTTCAAAATGTATTTACACGCTGGCAACGCAGCGGGTCATTAGCTAGTAATAAATAAAACTTACCTATTTTCATTTGCAATTTTACTGCTTAAAAAAGGCGGACCAATAGCAATAAATTCAATATCAGGTTTACTACTTCTATCATTTTCCAGGTTTCTGAAGTTAACTACTTGTAATCCCCATCCAGCAGTCAATGGTCTTCTATTCTCATACCATAATTTCAGCTGTTCTTTTAGTGTTAAATTGTAGTGTGGTAGTGTGATTAGTCCTATAGAAGTTTATTTATTCGTCATATGAGATTCTGAAAAGAATAACTTACCTAAAGAATATCGGAAAAATTGATACGTGATCTTTCAAATTTTGTCCAACTGGTAGAGCTTTAACAAGTTTTATGCCATGTTTTTTAGTTCTTCTGGAGGGCCAATTCCAGATAGCATTAAAATTTGTGGTGTATTTATGGCACCAGCAGACAAAATTACTTCTTTAGAGCTCTGAGCAAAATTTAGTTTTCCATTTTTTGCAAACTCTATACCCACTGCTCTATCATTTGCAATAATATCTTTAGTTACCAATGAGTTATCACTTATGAGCAAATTCGGTCGACCGCTGGTCTTATGTATGCATGCGCGGTTCCTGCACGGACATTTCTATTTAGAAAATTTTGGAGTCTACTGACGCCATAAGGGCTCCGTCCATTATAATCCACCTCAATTGAGCCTCTTTCTTTGAAAGCTCTCAATAACATTGTAGTCTTTAAAGTAAATTGATTACATTAAATTTTTTTAATGAAAGTTTGGATTCTTCTCACCAATCCAGGAGTGTCTTCTATCAAATCTGTAAACTGGGGCCATCAAAGTCATGATAATTTTCATCCAAGTCGATTTTAAACCTTGCTGTTTCAGCTTTTTTAAAATAAGGCAAAACATTTTCGTAAGACCAGTCAGGGTTGCCAACAATTTCTGCCCATGTATCATAATCCCACTTGTGCCCCTACTATATAGGTTTCCATTTAGGCTACTTGTTCCACCCCACATTTTGCCCCTTGGAAAAATACAGCGTTTATCAATTGTTGCTGAAAAGAGTTTTGCAATAATTCCATAGGTAGCCATTTTATCAAAATTATGGTAATAATTCGCGTTTACCAAGAAGGAGGAAACAAACCCGGAGACTATCTCGTAAGTTGAATATTGTTCCTATCCTATAATGGTATTTGGTTGTTGAAATGTGTCTAAGACCCGCGCTTTGAATTATCCTGTAGTTTAGGAATAACAAGCATCCTTCTTCCAAACCAAAGGCTTGAGTGGTGCAGAGGGCTGAAGAGTCGAAACCGTCATCCTGTATGGAAAATCGAAATTTTGAGCAATTTTGCCACACAAGTCGATCGAAAAGATGGAAATGTACAACCTGTAGCCTGAAAAATAGGTATACTGGTTTGTGTGACGCGAATGGATAAGTACATTTTAGGGTAACATAAGGAAAATCTAATTTTCCATAATTGTTATCCCCAGAAACCACTCGTAAGTTTTCCTTCATTCTACAAAAAACGATCAAATTTTCAACTTTATTCGAGGCTTGTATGCGAAAAAGGGGCTCTTTGATAGATTCCGGTGGTATGGCAATTTTTTCAATGGAGAAGTTTGGGCGAAAGGCTAAAGTCCTTGTAAACTGTTAGCGTTGAAATGAATTCAACATAAAAACTGTGTTAAAATAAACAAGTCCAAGTGATGACTTGCTGTGTAAACAAACGAGCAGAGTCATCACGAGCCTTGTACTGTGAATATTTACATTATAATAAATTATAATTTTGGCGAAATATATTATTTTTGATAAATAAATAATATATTATAAATTATTCCTAATAATTTCTAACATCAGAAGTGGGATAAACCCGGTGTCTTGCGTTTCGTACCATTTGACATAGCATTTTTCCATTTAAAATGCAAGAAGAAAGTCAAGAAAGTGCCACGCCCTCGGTAGCTTCTACATTAGAGACTCTACTTCGAGGATTTTTGGAGCGAGTTGATTCGCGTGCTAGTGTGTCGAATAATGTGCCTTCTGTGTCGTCGGGTGATTCGGTCATTCTGCCGGTATTTTCGCCTGGACGAGATAATCCTGAACAATGGACGAATGAAGTGTCGAGCTTGGCTACAGATTTGGGCTGGAATGATGGAGTACTTTTGGCTAGAATCGCCAACTGTTTTGAAGGGGAGGCAGGTGAGTGGTTTAGCAATTGGAGCCCTGTTGATCGCCGTTCTTGGGATAGTTTGAAAAGGGATTTATGCGAAAGTTTTGCTGGCAGTGCTGATTTCGGTAAATTAATGAATGAGGCTATAATGTATATTTCTGACGGCTGTTCGTCTTTTGGTTCATATGGGCGCATGAAGTAACAAAAAATAAATTTGTTGCGTGTTTCTTTACACAAGAACAAATTATCAGTTTGATATGTTTTGGCATTAAAGATTCTGCTTTACAAGCACAAGTGACTCAAGCTGGTCATGAAACAACCAGTTCTCTTATTGCTCATTTATCCCGTATACAGAGTAAGCCAAGTGTAGTTCGTCGTGAAACTCAGCAGAAAATTGTAAATCCGAATGTAAACAATAATATACGCGTAAAAACTAATGATATTAAATGTTTTAATTGTGGTAATATAGGACATCGTCAGTCGGCATGTACTGCACGAGGTGTAAAAAGAGAACATGATACCCCTGGCCCCTCTAGATCATATGATAATTTAATAACATGTAATTTCTGCAAAAAGTCTGGGCACTCGTTTGATAAGTGCTTTAAAAGATTACGTTATGAGAAGAAAGATGATAAATCTAAACATATAAATACCTGCGGTTCCCGTAATTCAAACAAAATGATTAATAACCTTTGTTTATATCCTCTTAATATCAATGGTGTATTTTATCAAGTTCTTTTAGACACAGGAGCTCAAGTTTCACTAATTCGTGAAAATATTTCTAAAGAAGTGTCGCAGACGTTTATCCCTGAAGAAAGGTCTATCAGTGGCGTAGGTAATAGCCTATTTTATTCACATCAAGTACTTTGTGTTGACATAATTCTAGATGGTGTTGAACTTTCTCTTAAATTGCATGTTGTACCTAGTGAAACAATTTGTTGTGAGATAATAATTGGTTTAGATTTTTTGAACATTCCTGGAGTTTCTCTTACATATAACCAATTCGGTCCCAAATTGGCATTTAAAATTCATCAGCAAATTAATACTTCTACCAGTCCGCCAATAGATGAGCAACTTCAAATAATTTTAAAAGAGTTTTCGGATATTTCTACTAGTGGAAATAAAGTACCTTCATTAATTACTACTGGCGAGTTTAAAATACGTCTTACGTCTGATAAAGAAATTAAATACCGCCCATATCGGCTATCAGTAGCAGAAAGGGAAGTGGTTTGTAAGATTGTACAGGATTTATTGGATAATTCCATCATAAGACCTTCGCAGTCGCCTTATGCAAGTCCCGTTTTGCTAGTTCGTAAGAAAAACGGCGAGCCACGCCTAGTTTGCGATTTTAGGGCTTTGAACCGTATTACAGTTAAATATTGTTTTCCCCTTCCCCGAATAGACGATCAAATTGACCGATTAAGTCAGAGCAAATATTACACTATTCTCGATATGACTGCTGGATTTCACCAGATAAAGGTCCACCCTGATTCAGTTGAGAAACTGGCCTTCGTAACACCAGATGGCCAGTTTGAGTATTTGAGGATGCCTTTTGGCCTTGCCAATGCCCCTTCTATTTTCCAACGTGCCATAAATATTGCTTTACACAATGAAATTAAAAATGGATTAGCCCTTGTTTACCTGGATGATGTCCTCATCCCTTTCATTACAATGGAGGAAGGACTTGCTAATCTAGCAGCAGTTTTTACAACTCTAAGAACACATGGGTTTTCAATTAATATCAATAAATGTTAATTCCTACAGTCGGAAGTTGAATATCTAGGTCGCTTAATCTCAAACGGAAGTGTTAAACTCAGTCCAGAAAAATCATTAGCTTTAAAGTCCCTTTCACCACCCACCAATGTCAAAGAAGTACGTCAGTTCCTCGGTTTGGCCGGATACTTCCGGAAATTTGTGCCAGAATTTTCAGTTAAAACTCGAATTATTTCTAATCTTTTGCGAAAAGATGCACCTTGGAATTGGACAAATGAACACAATGAATCCTTCCAAAATGTCTTAAATATTCTATCAAATGAACCTGTGTTGGCCATTTTCAACCCAAACCTTCCAACCGAATTGCATACTGATGCAAGTAGTCATGGTTTTGGAGCAATTATCCTACAAAATCATGATGGAAATAAGCGTGTAGTAGCCTATTTCAGTAAAGCTACTTTGGATGCTGAATCGCGTTATCATTCCTATGAGTTGGAAACGTTGGCTGTGGTCTACGCATTAAAGAAATTTAGGCATTACTTTGCAGGCATTACATTTAAGCTCGTAACTGATTGCAATTCCCTGAAAAGTTCCCAATACAAGCGCGATTTGATACCTCGTATAAGTCGCTGGTGGGTGTACCTACAAGACTTTGATTTCATAATTGAGCACAGGCCTGGCAACCAAATGGCATACGTTGATTACTTAAGCCGTAATCCTCCAAAATTAATGCCAGTTAGTCAAAATTTAATATTAGCTGATGAAAATGAAGCAGAATCTTGCAGTTTGATGCCTAGCGGTTGGCTATCCTTACAACAGAATGAGGATAGCGAAACGCAGGAATTAAAAGATAAATTAGCGAATAATGAATAATTTCTGAAAGAATTACGCAATATTTTGTACCAAAAAATGCTCGCTATTCGTTATTAAAAGAGTACCATGACGGACAAGCACATATTGGCGTAGACAAAACTTTTCTAAGTATAAATTCCCATTTCTGGTTCCCTAGAATGCGCCAATTTGTCAAGAAATATATTGATTCATGCTTAACCTGCCTCACCCGAAAACGGCTACCCCGAACTACTGTAAACGATATACATACACTCCATACCGAAAGTCGCTATTCCATTTAATACGTTGCACATTGACTGTCTTGGACCATTACCGAAAACGGAAGATGACTTCACTCACGTATTTGTCGCTGTCGATGCTTATTCCAAATACTGTATCCTGTACGCATTGCGAAGTCTTAAAACTGCTGTAATAGCAGATTGTGTGATGGATATTATTTATCTCGTTGGCACCCCGGCTCGTATAATATGTGATAACGGAACTTCACTACGAAGTCTTCAAAATAATGAGCTTGTTTCGGAATGGGACATCCAGTGGCACTTTATAACACCCTATGTACATAAAGCTAATGGCCAAGTAGAACGCTATATGGCTTTCATCGCAAATTTGTTGCGAGTTCAAGCTGAGGTTACTTCTGAGTGGAGTACGCTAGTATCACGTATCCAGCTTATTATAAATACGACCGTTCATAAAACAACTAAGAGAACGCCTCTTCAAACTCTTTTTGGCTGTGATAATAGAATCCCAGAAATTCAAAGAATTATCGAAAGTGCATCGGAAGATAAGCTTCCTGTTTTTGCTCCTCAACACGAGAAATGGAAAGAATTTGTAAAAAAACGCCTGGATGAAAATGCCCTGCAACAAGACGCATTTCAAAAAAAGAATGTAAAATCACATAGAAAATTCAAGATTGGTGATTATGTGTTAGTTACTAGAGAAGCCCTAACACCAAGAAAATTAGAATCGGGTTGGATTGGACCATACAAAGTGACGAATGTAACATCCCCAGGTCGCTATGAGCTGAGAAAAGTTGGTGATGTTGCTGATTCAACTAAAGTTACAGCAGCAGCTGCGTACCAGATGCGTCTTTGGCCCAAAGAATGGTACCCTGAAGACTGCTCAGATGTGCTAGAGACGTATATTTCAGATAATGATGATCATGAGGTAAATGTTTTACTTGCTGACATATTTTTGTTTATTATGTTTGGGCAATTATATTGCTTGCTGACATAATTTTGCTTATTATGTTTGGGCAATTATATTGCTTGCTGATATAATTTTGCTTATTATGTTTGGGCAATTATATTGCTTGCTGACATATTTTTGTTTATTATGTTTGGGCAATTATATTGCTTGCTGACATATTTTTGTTTATTATGTTTGGGCAATCATATTGCTTGCTGACATATTTTTGTTTATTATGTTTGGGCAATTATATTGCTTGTTGAAATATTTTTGTTTATTATGTTTGGGCAATTTTATTGGTTGCTGACATAATTTTGCTTAATATGTTTGGGCAATTTTATTGCTTGCTGACATGTTTTTGTTTATTATGTTTGGGCAATTTTATTGCTTGCTGACATATTTTTGTTTTTTTATGTTTGTGCAATTTTATTGCTTGCTGACATATTTTTGGTTATTATGCTGATGCAATTTTATTTTACTCATATTACTGGACAGTTGTATTGTCTATCAATATGGTAATAGTTTTTATGAATTTTGAAGTATCCACGTATGGTAAAACTATGAATTTATTCTTCTAGAGCATTGAAGAACCAGGAACTTTGCCTGTTACCCCCTAGGAAAGTCAGGATATGGACGAGCTGACTGGGCCGAGAGCGTCCCAGCGTCAGGCTGGCCGTGTTAGCGTTGAAATGAATTCAACATAAAAACTGTGTTAAAATAAACAAGTCCAAGTGATGACTTGCTGTGTAAACAAACGAGCAGAGTCATCACGAGCCTTGTACTGTGAATATTTACATAATAATAAATTATAATTTTGGCGAAATATATTATTTTTGATAAATAAATAATATATTATAAATTATTCCTAATAATTTCTAACATAAACCTAGCAATATTTTTCGCAATATCCACTGAATTGACTCAAGAATGAAATTATAATTTCAATTTCCTCCTTAATATACGATGATATCTTTGAATATTACCAAGGCATATTTTATCTTGTTCAGTTATATTGTAACCCCAATCCCATGGTGTGTTGTAAAAATATGAGCCTAGAGCTGGCACTTTCACAGTATCTGGATCTTGAGGTCCTGCTTCAACTAATAAGACCCTAAAACTGGTTTCTGATAATCTATTTGCTACAATACCGCCCGCTGTTCCGCCTCCGACAACTATAAAGTCAAATGTTCCATAATCTACAACAAAAATTAGTACCTACCTAAGTAGGATATATACTTGTAAATTGACAATATGTTTTAGGCATACTGCATGGGTACTTATTCTTAGATTTTGGTTTACGAATTTGTACTTTTGCTTACCCAGTGGCTTCTTGTTGTGATCAAAATTGGCAAAATACTTATCATTATTTTCTAATCTCTGGAAAGTTTTAGATAACTTAATCAAATCTTCAGTTTCCTTATACAATTCATCAAAGTTTGGAATAATCGCATGTGCTATTGAAAAAAATGGTATTAACTGTAGAAGTTTTTATTACAGAAATCATGGCAATTTATTTTTCCAAAATAAATTAGTGATAAGGGAGTACGTAGGTACTATATTTATAGTACATTGATAAGAAGAAAAAAGGCGTTTTAACTAAATAAATATTAGTAGGTATATAAATATCACCTGTGATGACAGTTTTTTTTTTATTGCATGAAAAGTAGAAAAACAACCATGTCCTTGAGTAAGGTTAGTGCGCACCTAAACTGTATTTTTATGATATAACCAAACAAATATCGGCCGTGCATTATCATAGTTGTGCTAGATCACAGTTAAATATCAGATAAAATTTCAAATGTATACAAAAATATTTTGCTATTTAAAGTCAAAAACAGAGATAGAAAAATTAATATGAAAAACGATAACTAACAATGTTCAACAATAAGTAGATTAACCAAAAAATTCTAAGTGGCGACTCAAAAGAAATACCGGAAATACCGCGAGTAGAAAAAGCACTTACCTAAACAAATGGAAAATAGAAAAGCCCCGAGAAATAATCGCCTCACTGCCGAAATGTTGAAGATGTTGGATAAACTGATATTCATATCAGTGGAACAAAAATTAATAAATTAAACTTTCATTATTAGTCTATACTTTGCTAATTTATATCGCAGCTATGGATGACTGAATGTGTTTATAATAGTTTTTATATGTAAGATAAACAGATGAGGAATCGTTTACTTAAGAAAGGGTTTGTAATTCTTTGTCTTGATGTTGAATCAGTTCGTATAGTTATTTCTATGAGTTCACACGCTGTGCTTTCCACTCTGTGTTCGATATAATAAATATATTGAATATCGATAATTAACAAGTTCTTTTATTTCTTAGTCCATTTCCCAACAGAAGATGGGTAAGATGTTCAGCAGAAACGAACCCCAATGCCTCTCTCTATTTTCTAAAATACTAACTAACCACTCAGCAAATAGGCTAAATTTCTACCAACCAACGAGTCGAACAACCGAGATTCAGGCAACGATTCAATACATTGATATTCTTCTTCTTCTTTCATGTACGGATATTCTATAGACTCTCTCTTTCCTTCACCGTTATTTGTGATCACTTCGGTTCTCCCATCAATTGTGGTCCTTCAGAATTGTTGGAAATGAGTACGTTATCGTCAGAGAACCATTGATGGTTTAATTTAGATGGCGTTGAATAGGATGTTTCATGTCCAGCATAAAAACGACGATATTACGTCTTCCTCTTTGACTCTTGTCCTGACTAAAATGGAATTGGTGTTTTCTTCTAGTTATAGGTACATTTTATAAATGTTATAATAAGGTTGTCTGTATCGCGTCAATTCATGAGTCGTCTACTGCTCTTCCAACAGGCCTTACCTCAATGCTATGGTATATGGAAATGGTATTCGTTGGGTTTTTGATAAGAATTTTTGAGGAGAGGGTCAGAAGCAATAGAACCATGATAGAACTCGGCCTATCTTTTCTTAAAGAAACTGTTAACTATCCAAAGAGCTTCTGTCCTCTGGAATTGTACACCATTATCTATGGCATTTACTTTGTTACCACTGAGGAAAACCACCTATTTAAAATGTTATTTCTTCAAATCTTAACTTTTTAAAAAAACGTTTACTGAATAAAAGTAAATGTTGCAACCTTGTCTACTCCATCAAATTTAGGGGTGACGGCGTTCGACCACAAGGAACGGTACTGCGAACTGGAGATAGAGAAGAAGCAACTATACTTGAGAACAAGCTGGGGCTGTTCCTTTAGATGTAATTATTCATTATTCAATTTTCATTTCTATTTTGCATTAAAATTGATTGTTTAATCCAATTTGTTATTAGTGTGTGTGTGTAAGGAACGTTCACAGGTTAGTGGATTAAATGTTATTCTTCTATTATTTTGTTAATTTTTATGTATTTTTTTGTTTGTTTATAACATTTTTTATAACATGTGCATTGTTCATGTATTTAACAAAAATCGTTTCATACTGTAAACAACACAGATAAAGAAGTAAATTAGAACCTAAGAAATTATGTGCTGTCTTTTTGTACTGAGATTTTGATTTTGCGGATTTAGAGCGTGCATTAGGGCCTTGTTGAATTTACTAACATTTTCCTACCCTGACGAGAGAATATCCTAGCAAATTGAAATAATCAATCTACAGATATTGGCTCAAAAACAACTATAGCTGAGTAGCTTCCCGTATGGGACCTCAGTACCTGCTGGGAAACTGGCTAACTAACCAAAAAACTCTTCAGTATTGAATATAGGTAGTGTTGATTGGATGTAGTGTGTGTAATTGAAATTTTAGCACAAGAACAGGGGCGGTACCTAATTTAAACTTTTATGGACTTAAATTATTGAATCATTGACTTAAATTATTAACTCACAATTAATTATTAAAATTACAGTAAATTTCGATTTTTGAGGAATGTTTGATCGAGGGTTTCTCTGCCGTGCTCTTTACCCTCGTTAGTTTCAGGATGAAAACGGTACGAATTACTTGAATAATAAAGTAGACGTATCACAAATTTTTCGTTTCTTTTACATATCACAACTTCCCTTGAATTTCCCAAATATTTGCTATGTCGGGCGCATGTCCAGAAAGTAAAATTGAGTAAGTTTCCACAACGTAGGTTCTATTTGTTTTTCATTTCGTTTTCCAGAAGATTTGTTGTTTAAAAGGTAATAAAAATTCTCATCGTTCAATCTTACTGAACGAACCCGGGTATGTTATACTACACCACTTTTAACTTGCGTTGGGTCCCAATTTGTTACCACTTTGCTTCAATTTCCACATGAACTCAAGTTAAGTATTCTACAGCAAGGGAATCTGATGAATCGCGGAATTCAAAAAATAAAATTTGTAGTTCTCCTATGTGCAAATTGAACTAATCAAATTCTAATAAGCAAATAGCTTTAATACAATTAGGGCCGGTTTATTCACCTTCTGATAAACTGTCAGGTATGCAATTTGACGGATAACAACGCAATCTGTAAGCTCGGCCAGTTATCCGCCATCGAATAGGATTATAAAACGGTAAATTTATCTTGCAGATAGTTGATAGTTACCAGCAAGTTTATCTGAAAATGAATAAACCGGGCCTAAATGTTACAATTCATTTTGAAAATTTGCTAAAGGGGGTGTGACCCAAAAATGAAAGTTTTAGTGCAAAAAAATCTAAGAATAAATTTTTAAACCGCATCTTGCTGCGATGATCCGTTTTCGAGTTAGGGCGGTTTAAAATTACAACTAGGTTTTTGTGACGTCACACTGGATTATCAGGGACAGTATTAACACGTGTAAGAATTTTCTAAAACAAAAGACAATTATCTCCTAGAGCGAATTGCAACAACTTAAAGTATGGGGTACGGTTCATTGACGACTGAACGAACAGAAGACTACGATTTTGGCGTTTGTGACATCATAAGCTCCTGCATAATTTATCTTCAAATGGAATTTTCTCAGAGACTATTTTGAATATAGGACTGCGGTTTTCACGAGAGATCTTAGAATTTTTTTCTTTATTTAAGTAGCTTGAGTCGTTTTCTAGGGTCACACCCCCTTTAAGAGGGGCGTCAGATAAGAGTCAGCGCGCCATCTTTTGATCTTAATGACATACATTAAATATTTTTTAATCACAGGTGTTCAAATTCTCTGTAAGTGATTGACTTATTTACAGGTAGATAGCGACATTTTCAATATCAATTCGTTTACACAGTAATTTACAGTGGACTAAATAATTTTATTCAGATACAAATGAAATAATAGTATTTCAAATTTTTAGCTAGGTAAGACAGTTTTTACTGGCGTTTAAAAGAAGTGACTACCCTTCCCGAACTCAGCGACATCTTTTAAAGAAGCGCTGAACACACGTTTGGTTTGAGTCTTTGCTGAAAATGACAGTAATCACCTTGTTGTTTGGCAGATTTTGATTAATTTTGCTATCCGAAATTTCGGAAATTTATTGTTGGTGTGCTACTCTATATGTGTATACCTTTTTCATTTAAATCCGTGACCAAAATTTACATATTGTTGTCAACAAAATTGGTAATAATTTTACTATTTAGAATGCGTATTTTGCAACCAAAAATGCTTCGAACGATACTCCAATCTATTATTGTTATGCACATAACTTCATTTCACTGAAAAGTGGTCTAAATTTGGAATTGAACAGAAATTTGTGAAAGTCTGTAAATGACATTTTATTTAAACGCCCCTCTCAAATGACCAGTTACTAGTTTTTCTAGAGAGACTGATAATGTCTGGCAGGTACCTACCTCTCTAATCCCAAGCTCGTGTTGGGATCTTAACCCCTATGAAGTGGAGATCTTTGGGTCGTTTCTCATTTCCAGGAGGGTAGAAAATAGATTGCTGGCGTGACGCATCCCCAGCTGATCCAGACTCCAAATGGTGATATTGTTGAATTGATACTACTGCTATTCAAAGTCAGTTAAACGGCAATAATGTTACATAGTCAATTCACTTTGCATATTCATTTCAATAAATGGTTATAAGGAAGTTTTCAATGAGTGATAAGTGGGGTCATTTGGAAGCTGTTTGTCCATATTTACCCCCATGCAAAATTTCGTCGTTTTTGAGATAACGCCATTTTTAGATATTTTGAATCCACGTATTTTAGCACATATCTCAAAAACGACAGAACTTTGCATAAGGGTAGATATGGTCAAACAGCTTCCAAATAACCCCAACTATTACTCATTGAAAACTTCCTATCGATGTACCAAACACCCTGTATACTAGAGTACCAAATTTCTATATGTACTTACAGTTTTTCCTTACTTTCATTAAATTATTCTGACAAAATAAGTATTTTGATTATATGCAGCACGCACATAATGGAGATTAACCGTTGTAAATTTTTATCTTCACTAGACTGATGACCGTTTTCTCTTCAACTTTCGACTTAGACTATATCCTATCCTCTCTACCTGATTGTTTGAATACTCACCCCACCATGAACCGGCGTTATTCCGATTCGTTGACCTAGACTCTCCCACTATTTCTAAGAAATATAATTATTTGTTCAAAAGACCATGTCGCAGTTTTCTTGATAATTGGGGTCAACGAATGTCGTGAAAATATGAGATTTTGATTTTGTGGATTTAGAGCGTGCATTAGGGCCTTGTTGAATTTACTAACATTTTCCTACCCTGACGGGAGAATATCCTAGCAAATTGAAATAATCAATCTAAAGATATTGGCTCAAAAACAACTATAGCTGAGTAGCTTCCCGTATGGGACCTCAGTACCTGCTGGTAAACTGGCTAACTAACCAAAGAATGCCGAAATTCGTGTTGGCCATGAATAATGTTTTTTAGATGAATCTATCACTTGGCCCCTATAGGCCCTACAATTCAATTACTTTAGCCTTGCTTTCAATATGTTTCCGTTGCCTAATTTATGGGCTCATCTTCAGGTTTAGGAACCTCGCGATGCCACAAGTGTGCTTATTATTTCAGATTGATTGTTTCGGTTCGAGGCGAAACTGGCAATTCTTCAATTATTTATTACTTTAATTTGAACTTTTCAATAGTTTAAATAAGACAAATTTATACTGGAAATATAATTAAATAGAGCAACTTCTCCCAAAATAATAGTTTCTTTGCACTGCCTTAATCTAGGTTAGACTTTTAATAACTCTTCAAAAAGACTATCTGGATCTTCGTCATTTCTAGCTGAGGTTGGTGCATATAGACCTGAATAAATTAGATAGAGACATTTTCATTGATTTTCCGGATGATAAATCCATCTTTGTAATCGGTCTTTACTTTCTGGGTGCATACTTGGATGCTTTCTTGCGTCCATGAAGTAACCTGTCCTGTAAGAATATACAGTTGGGTTACAGAATCGGATTCTTCTCAGACCATTTCCTTGAAATTGAAACGCAACAAAAATGAAAATAGACCAACTGTAATTGTGCAACAAAAAAAAAATAGGAATTAATCACAAAATATGAAAAGGAAGTTCTACTAGAGCGAGCTTGCTTGCACCTCTGGCTTTGACCTCACAGTATGCAAACAGCTCAAACTAAGCAGATTTCAGTAGAACATTTCACTGAAGGATGTAAATAACATAAAATGTAGCTCTTCTTTTTTTTATTTAATGATAATATAGGCCTACAATTTGAAAGAAATTAATTTTTTTGTAAGCCGTTGTATTCAGCCTTTATGAAATCAGCTGCCTTGTCTGCCACCATTACAACGGGTGCGACTAAATGACCAGATATGGTTATTGGGACTACGCTAGCATCTACAATTCTAAGCCCTCGAATTCCATGAACTTTAAGTTCCGGATCGGTAACAGAGTTACTGGGATCTCTTCCCATTATTGCTGTACTTATAGGATGGTAATCCTGAAATAGGATATTTATAGTTTGTGTATTTTTTTTTTAATTACTTACAGGAGATGCAATATGTCTTAGCACACAATACCACCACTCTCTGGAATCAGTTTTGAAATTTTCGTCGCAACCTGGCATAAGTAGGTGCAAGCGTTCAAAGTGGTTGAAAGCATTGGTATTCTGTATATCGAGTAACCATTTTATTGATTGGTACAATATTTCTAAATCTTTTTCAACAGCAAAAACATTGAGGTTTATCAATGGAAAATCTCGCGGATCATTTGACTGAAGTGTTAGTTCTCCTTTTGATTCCGGATGGAGCAATATAACAGTAAATGCTAAATCAGTGTACTGGTTCAGTATTTTATATGCAGCTGTGTAGTTTTGATTATATCTAAAAATAAACATTTTATTAAGCTTTGGAGTTTACAGATTGACCATTTTTGAATACATTATTAGTTACAATTAATTTGTCCAATACATTATTTGCTTTTATGTTAAATTTTTAGTTTATTACTGAAAATGGCCAAATCGTGTAAAACCACATCGAAATATTTTGGTGAATTTGATCAAAAAATACCTTCCATTGTGACTTTATAGCCATTTAAGCGTGCTCACTGACCGAAAATTTATTTAGAACATATTTTCTATACGTAACACATTTTTCACCATCAGCCGATATTGGATTTTTATAGAGCCGATTACCCTGAAAAGGCTAGAGGCCAACGCCAAGATATTTCTTTCTTTTTTTTTTAATAAATTATTTATCAAGGAAAATGAAAATTAGGTACCTATTTAGTTTTGCTATTTCACTGGATGCACCATTAGGACCAATACCTATAAATTCGACATCTGGTGGTTTAAATTTGTCGTTTTTGAGATTTATGAAACTCAATATTTGACTGCCCCAGCCAGCTTTCAATGGTCTTTTATTTTCGTACCAGAGCTCGAGTGCTTGTTTTAGAGTGAGATTATAATAAGTATGGTTGGTTCTATAAAATTTATGTTACAAAACAATTTAGAAATAAACTTATAATTCACCTGAAATATATTGCCGTACATCCTACATGATCTTGTAAGTTTTGTCCTACTGGCAAATTTTTGATAACTTCTATGCCATGTTTTTTTAGTTCTTGCGAAGGACCGATGCCTGATAACATCAAGATTTGTGGTGTATTTATAGAACCAGCAGATAAAATTACTTCTTTTGAGGCCCTGGCAAAATAGGCCGTTCCGTTTTTAATGAATTCTACGCCCACAGCTATGTTTTCGACAATATTTACTTTAGTAACCAGAGAATTGTCACTTATAACAAGATTAGTTCTATTTGATGCTGGAGTTATGTAAGCATATGCCGTTCCAGTTCGAATATTTCTGTTTAAATATATTTGAGTCCTACCCACGCCATATGGACTCTTTCCATTGTAATCCAGCTCGGGTACTCCTTTTTCTTCAAAAGCTTTTAGTAGAGTTTTAGTCTGGAAATGAAAGAATATATATATTTCCTGTTTGACGGTCCTATTCTATGTATTTTGACTCGACTTGGGTGGTTTTTTTGAACAGGTGGAAATATGTTGAGGAGTATGAACGTGATTGTCAGATGTTGATGAAATATCTTTGTAGTTTGAGATAAAATATTTCAACACAACGCATGGGATTCAAATTCCTAGTTATTTAATATTACGACTTCAGATTTCAAGGAAACTTCTCGCATATCGTAGAATCTGAGTTATGTTTATTTTTAAGGTCAAATTTATTCCCTTGACTGACACTTACGGGATTAAATAATATGTCTTTCAAGTCCCTTGGTACATAATATACAGCTCGAGAGACCCAATCGTCTTAGTTTTTATGCCATTGGATCGGAACTATATCCTGCTCACAATCCGATGTTCACAGGTGCAGGTAAATTTATCATCTTTCCCTATCAAATAGCATTGAAAGGTGATTTTACCTGTACCTATCTGGGACATCGGATTCTGAACGGATAATACTCGAGCTTAGGGACCATGAGTCTGCTGACTGTGCATCAGCATTTCCACGTCCAAGTCACGCACAGGCATAATATATTCTAGGACACATAAGACCATCAAGTTTAAAGCACACCAAAGTCATTCGGCGATGGGCAAGTTGCGACGTGAGCAGGATGAAGTTTTTAGTGATTAACCGGCACGGAGGTGGCGGATAGCATGATATCGTGATCAAATACCAGACCACAGCGAAGAATGGCAATAGTAAAGAGAATTAACATCAATATTTCAGCTCTAAACGAAGCCAAAAGAGCAAGCCGATGTCAATTTGATGAGCACGGAGGTGACTGTTTTCTGGAAAGAAGGTCATTGAATGAACCTCGCATCCACGGAGTAAGTCTCACCATAAAAAATCATTTTATGAACCATCTTGCTGAGCTTCCATTCGGAATACTTAAGCGAAAGACTGATGACACTGCGGTAGCAACAACCAACAAGCTTCGCTCGTGAGCGCCTACGCATCAGGGAACCTCATTGAAACAGAGACTATTTCACCAAAACTAATATGCCTTCCAACGAGGCAAATCATGCGAATTAGCTCTACACCAAGTGGTGACAAGAGTAGAGAAAACAGGAAAATCGCATTGGTGGCATTTCTTAATATAGCGGGAGCCTTTGTGTAAACTTTAGTAAAATTTGGACTTTTCAAAGTTTTTAAAGAAAAAAATATACTATTTCAAGGCTCAGTGTGAGATAAGTGGACTGTATCAAATCTTTTAAATGCAAATAAAATGGAGGTTTTGAGACCTTACCTTGAACTTCTGGCTTCCATGTAGAGGTGTCCACGGACACCTTTTTCACACACACACACACACGTTTTCCGGACTGGCCAGTCGACGCGTTTTTTAGTTCTGTTTCTAAACCGTGAAACTCGGCAAATTAAACACTTAGTTGCGGGTTCTATTAAAAACTATTAAAAATTAAATGCGGGTTCTCTATTAAAAGTTTTTGTGGAAAAACAATGTCGTTTGGTTGACGTCCGTTCTGATTCTCTCTGCGGCTAATAGCAATAATTTTTGCTAGCACCAAAGTAGTTTTTTGTCCTTTTTCACCGCACACGCGCGATATCCCTTTAAAGGCCTCAAAACTATTAGACTTGAATTTATGAATAATGATACACAGTGAGCCAAGAAAAGAAGAGAGTTAAATGTGATTGATTAAACATATTATTTTAAATGAAAACAGAACAGCCTTTGACCATACCTTCTTCAAATCCATAGTCAGAGCTGCTGGGCAACATGCGATTGATGATACCACATGTAAATAGATCAAATCCATTCTAAAACACAAAACTATAAACTCTACAATTCCTGAAATCTCTATAAAAGTAACCGCGACAAAAGGATGCCCACATGGAGTACTTTCACCACTCTTGTAGAATCTAGTTGTGGATGAACTTCTGGGGACTCTCTACGATCAAGGCAACTTCACCCTAGGCTACGTGGATGATATAGTCGTTGTCATTAGCGGAAGATTTACCAGGATGGTATCAAACCCCATGCAGGACGCCTTAGGAAACTCATTACTGTCACGAGAAAAAGAAATCTGGAGGACCTAATACCCCCCAGTCTATTCCAAAAACCCTTGGTAGGGAAGATAAATTTCTGGGCGTCATCCTAGATATGATCACTACCAAAAGCAAGATGACGTTGATGTCACTAAAAAGAGCCATTGGGAAAACATGAGGACTGAAAGTGTCAGTTGTAGACTGGATGGATATACACTTACACTACGGTTGTAAGAATAATGATAACATATGATGGCCTAAAGTAAACCAAAGACAACCAAATCTGGAGCTAGCCAAAATCTAGAGACTTGCATGTCTTTGTATCACCAATACACAGAAAAGCACACCGACGGCAATTATGAAAACGATCCTAAACCTCCCACTAATTAACCTTATCGTCAAAGCGGAGACTAGAATTGGGGCATATTGTCTACAGCAGAACGAAAATTGCAACCCAAAACCAAATGGACATGCGGCATTCATCAATAATAATCACAAACCCGATTTTAACCATCGGAAGCGACTATATGGTGTCGAAAAAATCCCTCAAAAACCGATTCGCCATCAAGATGGTTCCAGCAGGAAATACCTAAACAAAACATTGTCTGGTATACTGACGGCTCCAAAACAGAAACTGGAACCAACGCTGGGATATATGGACAAGCTCCCAGATACGACATCAGTCAACTTCCGAGAGAATACACTACTGTATTCCAAGCAGGAATCTATTCCATCAACCCCTGTCTGAGAGAAAAGTTTATCTGCTCAGACAGTCAAGCGTCGGTTAAAGCACTCAACAGTACGTCGGGGAAGTTAGCAACACATTGTAGGAAGGATCTTCAAAATGCACCTCTGCTTGTGCTGCTATATTACCTTAGACCTGCTTTGTCCTGCAAACCACACTCAGCAGCACCCATCATTTTCGAAATATATCGATTTCTATTTTGGTTGCTAACTTCGCCCTTGGCAACACATTGGAAGCAGGATCGCTGAAACAGGTTCATGCTTCTGCTGCTATGGTCCTGTCTCATCCTGCTTCAAATCTGACCCTGGAAACACGTACTGTTTTCGAGATACATCGATTTTTACTTTGGTTGCTAACTTCACCCTTTGCAACACACTGGAAGCAGGATCGCCCAAACATGTTCCTGCTTGTGTTGCTACGGTCTCGCCTCATCCTGCTTCAAATCACACCCCGGCAACACGTGCTATTTTCAACAGGGATTTTTATCATGGTACGTAACTTCACCCACCCTTGGCTTGGGAACACATAGGAAGCAGGAACACTTTTTTTTCGCTTATGTTGCTAATTGCAATGCCTCATTCTGCTTCAATTTTCACCCCAGCAATACCTGAAATTTTTTAGCTGCACACTGCTAGCATTACAAGAACCTAGTCGTAGGAATATGGCGAGCGCGAGACACCGTTGCCAAATGTATTGTAATGAGTGCTTGTTTCTGTATGTTGGTATTTTCGATGAAAAGATTTATTTCAAGCTAACCCGTACTTTTGTAATGAATGCTACTCTTTGTATGTTGGTATTTTAGATAAAAAGAGCTAATCCAAGCTAACACGTCCTCATACAAAGTACTAGTTTTTGTCTGTTGATATTTTAGACGAAAAGAGCTATTCCAAAGTAACCCGTCCTCATACTAAGGCGACCGAGTATGTTTGTATTTTAGAAGAGAAGAGCTTATCCAAACTAACCCGTCCTTTTGTAATGAATGCTGGTCTTTGCATGTTGGTATTTTAGATGAAAAGAGCTAATCCAAACTAACTCTTCCTTTTGTAATGAATGCTAGTCTTTGTATGGTGGCATTTTAAACGGAAAGAGCTAATCCAAGGATTGAATTGAAACTAACCCTTCCCTAATAATCTTTAAAAAAAATGTAGAGGAACGTTATTTTTTCGAGTGTGTTCATTGTTAACCTGTAGAGGTAAAAACTAAGTATGCTAATTATTATGTGGTGATCTTGTTTATGTTTATATAAAGAGGGAGTGGTTTTTTTTATGAGTAAGAGGCGTCAGTCTTGCGTTAGCGTTCTAGACATTTGGTCGAATTTATATTCAAATATATACTGATTAGAAAATTTTGGATTAATTTTCTTTGCTTTTCCATCCATAGACGCGTTTCGACCTTTATCAGGTCTCATCAGTATGGCTAGGAAAAGCAAAGATATAGGTCGAAACGCGTCTATGGATGGAAAAGCAAAGAAAATTAATCCAAAATTTTCTAATCAGTGTATAATAAGGAGAAATATTTTTTTTTCCTATTTTGGGTTTTCCCAACGAACTGATTTTTGATCGGCCTTTTAGATGGCATCACTAATCACAGCAAAAATTGCTGTTTAGTGTTAAATCCTTGTCTTAGATGGCGCCACGATCAAATTTCGACCGTCTTACTACTTCTATTTTGCATACATGCACAAAACTTTGATTGGTTTTCTTTGCTTTTCCCAGCCATACTGATGAGACCTGATATCGGTCGAAACGCGTCTATGGATGGAAAAGCGAAGAAGATTAATCCAAAATTTTCTAATCAGTGTATAATAAGGAGAAATCTTTTTTTTTTCCTATTTTGGGTTTTCCCATCAACGAATTGATTTTTGATCGGCCTTTTAGATGGCATCGCTAATTACAGCAAAAATTGCTGTTTAGTGTTGAATCCTTGTCTTAGATGGCGCCACGATCAAATTTCGACCGTCTTACTACTTCAAATATATATATATATTGGTATCCCCAATACTACAATACAATCTGGAGAAAAAATGGGCAGGTATTTTACACGAGAGGACCTTTTTAGTGATTTACCTTTCTTCTTTATCTTTGGTGACAGTACTAGTCAAGAAACGAATAGAATTACCCAAAAAGCAAGAGAGTCATTACAAACACGCGCAGAAGTCTGACGTAAATCAAAAACTCAAACATAAAAAGTGTTTCAATTACAAAGACATGTTCAGGGACTGTCCCAAGCCTAAAAAGGAATGCTCAATTTGCAGGTAGGGCATTTATCCTCAAATTGTTAAAAGAACAGGCCAAGTACTTCACATAAAATGCTAATGTAGGAAACCAAACCTGATTCAAAGTCAGACGGTTATTATGTGACTTGTGAAGTAAACGGTCATAATTTGAATGGTTTTATTGATTCCGGATGCGAGGTCGTATTAATGCGTGAATCGGATGCAAAAACTGTTGGCCTTACTTGGCCCACTTGCAATGTTACTCTAAATGGATATGGAGGGGCTATTACGAAGGTTTTGGGCAATGTCAAAACAAATCTGAGAGTAGATTTATTGGAAGTTAAAGCTTTTATTCTTTATTGTGCCCAATCAATCGCAGAATATGTCAACTTTAATTGGTAGGTCAGAATTGTATAAAAGTGATGCGATAACAGTAGTTCGCAAAGGAACTGTTAGACATTTCAGCAGTGGTTTGACTGACTTACAAAAAATTGATGAACTTCCACCTAAAAAGATAGTTTTGATTGCAACTGTTTCCACTAAAATTTCCCCAAACCACATAGGACTGGTGAGTTGGATGATGAAGAATGACTACCAAGGTGATATTTTTATAGACCTATGTCAATGTTTTGAATCATGCAAAGAATAGGTTTTGCCCAGATGTGTCATATTTTCAGGAGATTTGAAAATTTCAATTTTCAATGTTTCAAGAGATGTGATCTGTTTTGGACCAAATAGGGTAATTGCAAGAGGTGTTCCTTGCATTCCAGATGATGCAAATATAAGGACCTGTTTAAAAGTAGATATTTGTAATAATTTTCCTTGAATAATTTAACCACTTGTGTGTTAGAAAACTTATCTAGAACCGATTTATATAATCTTGTATTATTGTTAAACAAGTATCGCGATTATTTTGCGGAAAACTTTTAAGAACTAGGTCACATTGGATCCGCGGAAATGGAAATTCGTTTAAATTGTGAAAATCCTGTGACATAAAGACCATATAGACTTTCTATTCATGAAAGAGAGAAGGTGCGCAAAATAGTTAAAGAAATACTGTCAGCCGATACTATACAAGAGTCCAGATCGCCTTATTCAAGTCCAATTGTATTGGTTAAGAAGAAAACTGGTGAAACAAGCATGTGCCTAGATTACCGCGCTGTTAACGCAAAAACAATGAAGGACTGTTAACCTTTACCAAGAGTGGACGACCATTTAGAGATTTTAAAACTTGGACATGGCGAGCGGTTACCACTGAATACTAATGGCGCAGAACTCCCGAGAAAAAACAGCATTTGTAACTCTTGATGGTCACTACGAATATTTAAGGATGCCGTTCGGATTAGTAAATGCTCCAGCGGTGTTTCAACGGACGATTAAACAGATCCTTGGCTCCATGAAATTTTCTACTGCCTACTGCATGAATGACATCTTGGTTCCTTCTCCTAGTGTTGCGTCTGGGTTGGTTGCTCTTGAGGATGTATTTGAAACCTTCCAGAATGCAGGTGTCACTTCGCAACTGTCAAAATGTAATTTCTTTGAGGAGCAAATTGATTATTTAGGACATGAGATTAGTGCTGCCGGTATCCGACCCGGTATTTCGATGATCTCTGTAGTAGAGAAATTTCCTGTTCTAAAAAATGTGCATCAGATTCGACAATTCATCGGTCTATGCAGCTATTTCAGGAAATATGTGGGAAATTTTACACAATTTGCCAGCCCATTACCAAAAAGGATGTACAATTTGACTGGGGTATAGACCAGGATGGTGCTTTTGCGAAACTTAGAGCAGTTTTGATCAAGAGACCTATACTTGCCCCATATGACTCTGGGTTAGAAACAGAGGTCCATACCGATGCTTCGAAAATTGGGCTTGGTGGAATTTTGTTACAAAAACAGGAATGTGGCAACCTAAAGCCAGTAAATTTCTTCAGCCGACAGAATGTAAAGGAAGAAGAAAAGTATCACTCGCACGAACTCGAAACGTTAGCAGTGGTTTGCTCGTTACAGAGGTTCCTAGTATACCTATTAGGGCTATCGTTCAAAGTAATACTTGACTGTAGTGCCTTGAGAACTGCAATGTCAAAGCGTGATCTGATTCCGCGCATTGCAAGGTGGTGGCTTTCCATCCAAGAATTCAATTTCAGTGTAGAGTATCGGCAACGATCAAAAATATCACATATGGATGCATTGAGCCCAAACCCAATTGCAGAAAATAAACCTTATGAAAGATCAGAAATTATTTATATTTTTCAAGTAGATATCACACAAGATTGGGTGTTATCAGCGCAACTGGAAGATAGCAAATGCAAGGAGTCGATTGAAAAATTGTTGAGGAAACCAGTAAAAGACACTGAAAGACAATAAACTTTATCGGAAAACATCTGCTGGCTTACTCTGAAAAACATGGGTAGTAAGTATTGGTTTACACTAATGCGAAAATATATGGACCGCTATATTACTGCTTGTCTATAATGTGCATACAACAAAGCACCTACAGGTGAACAAGAGGGATTTCTCCATAAAATAGAAAAGGTACCAATCCCAATGCAGACTCTTCATATTGATCATTGTGGACCGTTTGTGAAGAGCACGAGGAAAAATGCATACTTGATAGTAGCAGTAGATGCTTTCAGGAAGTTTCTTCATGCCAACCCAGTTCCAAGTACCAAAACGAAACCTTTTAGAGACAATTTTTCTGACTTTCGTTACTCCTAGATGCATAATTTGTGATAGAGGATCTTGTTTTACAAGCAACTCCTTTATCAGCTTTAACAAGGAGCTAGGAATCAAACTAGTATTTAATGCAACAGCCACTCCACGTGCCAACAGGCAAGTGAAAAAATATAACAGCACTTTTTTGAAGGCCATTTCAACATATTACGAAGATGAAAGAAAGTGGGACGAGTCAATTAGGTCTATTGTGTTTGGAATTAATTCTGCAGTAAATAGTTCCACTGGAAAGAGTCCCTGTGAACTGCTTTTTGGATATACAGACCAAGAGCATTGGGTGATTCATTTCTGAGTACAGCTGTCACAGAGGAAGCTATTGAAAATGACATCACACAATCTAGGCAGGAAGCTGCTTCAAAAATTGAAATTGCTCAGGACAAGCAAAGAACATACAGAAAGAAATGTCATAAGTATGTGGTAGGGGACCAAATTGTTCTGAAGAGGACAAGTTCTGCAAATGTAGGTAAATGCAAAGAGTTGCTGCCAAAGTTCAGTGGTCCTTACCAAATTAAAGAGGTTCTAGATCATGATCGTTATATTGTAGAGGACCTGCCAGGGTCAAATCGTGCACGTAAGAGATATGGAGGTGTCAGTTCAGCTGACCGTATAAAGCCGTTTAATGCCGCATTTCAGAGCAGTATTGAGACGGATTCAGACTATGAAATCTCAGAGGAGAAATCGCTAGAGGAGAAATTCTTAGAGGAGGATGTCTCAGAGAAAGATTCTTTGACTACTTGAGGAAGTTTTTAAAGTAGATGTAACTAATTTGTTCATTACTGAAGAATTTGTTTTTTTTTTATGATGATTGGCGAGTGTTGTGGATAGGCAGGACTATAGCAGCACAAACAGAAACCTGTTTTAGCGATTTTGCTTTCAATGTGTTGCTAACTTCCCCGACATCTCAACAGTTGCGAAATAAAATCGTCTGGGAATGTTTGGAAAACCTCAAAAACCTAAGTATGGCCAACAAAGTAATCCTTGAATTGATGCCAGGGCATAAACGAATTGAAGGAAATGAAAAAGCAGGTGCTCTGGCACGAGAAGGATCCGCAACCAGTTATACTGATCCTGAACCTGCAATTGGTTCCACAAAATCTTCGGTAAGAACAAAAATAAACCAATGGGTATATAATATATTATAACGATTTGAAAAAGTTGTTTGCAGTACCTTCTTCAAATATGCATCATTTTATACAGGGTACGATCATTTTTTTATTTTGCAAATCAAGGTGTGTAGTCTATGTAGAGTTGCGACATCACTATGTTAAACTTTCTACTATTATTTATTATTCAATTATTATAACTCATATTTGGGTCAATTCTTACCAATCCCGGTGTGTCTTCTAATAGGTCTACCCCTTGAGGACCCTCAAATCCATGATAACTTGCATCCAAGCCAGTTTTGAAAAATGCTTTTTCAGCTTTCTTGAAATAAGGCAAAACTTTTTCATAGGACCAGTCATTACTGCCCACAAGATTTGCCCAATCATCATAATCCCATCTGCTACCCCTGCTATACACTCCACCGGTAGTGCTACTGGTACCACCCCACATTTTACCTCTTGGATAAATACATCGTTTATCAATTGTTGCTAGAAAGTTTTTTTTTTAGTATAGCTATTTATGTTATAGTTTTTTTTTTTTTTTTTTTCACCGGACATCAAAATCCAAGGAAGAAAATATTCCAATGGCATTCAAATTGTTTTTTTTTGATGACCGATATATATACATACCTACATATTGTGTGAATTTGGAAAAACAAGATCATAGGTATTTAGGTAGAGAAAGTACTTTGCCATCTCATAGAAAGATAAATTACTGTTTTACTTCCTTATTATATAAGGCAAGAAAATGTTAGTTTTTGGCAAAGTCTTAAGAATAATATATATATTAAAAGCATAATTATTATTACCAAGACAAAAATTATCTTGGACAGTGGTTTTATATCCCCAATCCAACGGTGTATTATAGTAATATGCACCAAGAGCCGTCACTGATACGGTATCGGGATCGCGAGGCCCTGCTTCGATTAATAAAACTTTAAAATTGGTTTCTGTTAATCTGTTAGCCACTACGCCTCCTGCAGTTCCTGCTCCAACAATAATAAAATCGAAAGTACCATAATCTACGGAACATAAGATCATAACGAAGAAGCACTAACAAAATAAATTTCTTACCAATTGGTTTTTTGGCGCTATCGAAATTCACGAAATATTCATTATTATTCTCCAATCCATGGAAGGTTTCAGTCAAGTTTATTAGCTCTTCGATGTCTTTGTAAAGTTCAGTGAAATTTGAAATATTTGCAAAAGATATTGAAGAAATTGCAATTAAAAAGCAAATTGTAAAAATAGGAAACATGTTAAGTGAATTATCGTACTAGCCTGACGCGGTTGTATATGTAGGTAAATAGACTTTTAGCTTAGCAATTAGATATTATTATTTTCACCATTAATAAAATAAGGCCATTTAAATATATACACAGAAAAAAATCGCACTCTGATGACAATAACATCATCACCAATTTGAAATCATCGAATTCTGTTTGCATTAATTATATTTAGCTTGAATACAAAAAAATGAATCTAATTGATTTACCTTGCTAAATATTTGTCTAAGATATGAATTTGAATGAAGAATTTCATATTTGGCTTACATAAATTTTCTCTAGTTGTTCCAGGTAAATTTTCGAAAAATTGAATTAAACTTCGTAACGTAACATAATATTCACTGACAGAATATAAATATACCACTAAACTACTCCAAACTCCTGTGAAATTGAGATGAAAATATGCCATTTAATTTAAACTTTGTTGTTGTTGGTCCATAAATTTCTCCCACTCCTTACTTCAATGCGATGGTTGATGCGACCGACACCGAATCCCACATTTCATCCATAACTCTCGAGACTCGAACTCTATTCTCTTTCTTTAGTACTGTACAGGGTGCTGCAATTTGGAGTGTTTTAACAGGAAAAACACACTTCCAGACCAGATAGAGGAAAATTGACTTTGATGTCATGGGATTGATTTTCGAGAAACGTCGATTGTCAAAAACCGTATCGCGATATCTTCAATGGTACCATTAATACAGGGCGGTTTTCGATTTTCCCCTATTATGAAAAATGGCTATAAGTTTTTTATTTATCAATTTTTTTTTCATTTCTGTGAAAACATTATGGAGACACTTTTTTGAGCACAATCCAGTGGCGGACTCGATTTTTTTCGATATTGCTCCGATTTCGAGATATCGACCAAATTCCGATATTTTCAAATGAAACATCCTTTATATTAATAGCTCATTGAATAGCTCTGTTTTTGCTGATTTCAATGATATAAAGTCCGATAGGTTTATCTCTATTAGTTTTCGAGAAAAAAAATTATATCTGTTTTTGTCGTAAAAACCAATGTGTTAGAAAAGGATTTTATATGTGTAAGGAAAGTGAGAAAGGTCTCTTTCTAACACATTGTTTCTTATGACTGAAACAGATATAATTTTTTTCTGGAAAACTGTTAGAGATAAACCTATCGAACTTTATATCATTGAAATCAGCAAAAACAGAGCTATTCAATGAGCTATTAATATAAAGGATGTTTCATTTGAAAATATCGGAATTTGGTCGATATCTCGAAATCGGAGCGATGTAGAAAAAAACCGAGTCCGCCACTGGATTGTGCTCAAAAAAGTGTCTCCATAATGTTTTTACAGAAATGAAAAAAATTGATAAATAAAAAACTTATAGCTATTTTTCATAATAGGGGAAAATCGAAAATCGCCCTGTATTAATGGTACCATTGAAGATATCGCGATACGGTTTTTGACAATCGACGTTTCTCGAAAATCGATCCCATGACATCTAAGTCAATTTTCCTCTATCTGGTCTGGAAGTGTGTTTTTCCTGTTAAAACACTCCAAATTGCAGCACCCTGTACACAGGTACTGTACTTTCTTCCGAAGAAGGTTGACGGCGTGCAGGGCGTGAGTAAATTGTCCAACGGATGAGAAAAATTGAAGACTTTTTGTTTTTGTTTAAAACAATGATTCAAGTTTATGTGTATTTCGTCGTATTCGAGAACATATATTTAATTGAGTGAACGTGAAATTTACTTCAGTTAAATGCTTTGTTTTTTGTGTGTATGTATAATAATTGCAATCTTTTGGTGAAAGCTTAATCTGCCTATGCAAGTTATTTATTGTCATGATACCTCGTAAATAATACGTTTTATCTTCTAAGAAAATCGCACTTCGCTAATTTGTCGTGTGCATTTTTTTATGGTGTACTAAATTCAAAATTGATGTTATCACGATGGCCATGTCAAAATTATCAGAATGTTCGTATATTAATGTAGGGTTCTATAGAAGTTGTAAATTTCCAGAAATTCTAAAGAAAATAAACTACGCGTCAATCGAACTCGAACACCCCAATTTTTGGTCACTTTTTGAAAGGCTATAACTCAAAAACTAGCAGGCCGATTTTGTTCAAATTTTCAGGAGTGAAAGGATGCTCTAATTACTATTTAATTTCCAGTTCTTAACAGATTTGCGGCCACCTGCTAAAAGCTACAGGGTGAAACATGAGTAGGCGATTTTTTTGCGAAAGTTTTGGTTCACCCCATTCTGCTGGAGGAGGGTTAAATAGATTTTTGGTATGCAATTTAGAAGAGTACCTTGGTACCTCGGGAAGTTTTTGAGATTTTTTGAATATCGCGGCCCACTACCATTTAATCTTGAATTATGCGATTTTATGTAAGATATAGCTATTGACGTCATTATTTCTTTCGAAACAGACACTATAATTATGGCGCATGTGGAAACACACTTTAAAACATATTATACAGGGTCATACAAAAATATACAGTGTGTCTATTTTTCTAACCAGAGGTATCTTGCTTATTATTAGAGATATGAGGTCGGTTGAATTAGGGCAAAGTCGCACAATTTTATGGCCAATAAAATGGGGTTTAACACTGGCACCGCTGCTTATAGACATTGCAGATGGTAAACCAAGAATTACTTCGGTCCGGGATGACAACAGAATTCTTTTACCAGTGCGACAAAACATAACTCTCAATTCTTCGCGAATGTCCATTATTAAAAGCACTCCATCGAAGAGCACGAATAAACTGGGCAAATATTCATAGACAATAGACACTGGGGGGGCGTAGCTGAATAGTAGGGATGTTTGTTTGTGGATGAATGCAGATTCACGCTGTATCAGAATGACGGGCGTGTATTAGTATGTAAAGAAACGCGTGAGAGCTACAGAAAAGAATGCATGGAAGTAAGAGAGGCTTTTGGTGGTGGCGGCGTGAGAGTTTGGGGGGGTATTGATCGGAATGGGAAGACTGAACTGGTAATTTTAATGAGATAAAGTATGGATGCAGAACGGTACCGTGATTTCTGTGTAAGAGATATTGTTGTTCCATATGCGAACAACTTTGGTAATGATTTTGTCTTTGTGGATGATAATGCTCGTCCACATCGAGCAAATATTGTTACCGAAATTTTAGGAATATTGAAAGAACGGAGTGGCCTGCAAAGTCACCTGACATGAATCCGATTGAGCATGTATGGAGTAGAATGAAATTGAGACTGGCTGAACGGATAAATGGTTTTGCAGATTTGAATGAATTGGTGGATGCAGTAAGGCAAGAGTGGGAAGCTATTCCCCAGAATTTAAAAAGGGATTTGATAGGTAGTATGCCGAGGAGAGTGGCGGATGTGCTTAGAAATCGGGGTGGGCCTACCAAGTACTAATAATCCTTTTGTCAAGTCTTTGTTTATTTTATTCTCGTTTTTGTTAAGTTTCATTTGATAGGTATGTGTTTTGTTTTCATTTCATTTTAATTACGTTTACTTATAATTGTCTTTTTTTTAAATTTATTATTAATACTCTAATAAATCTCGCTAAAAGTGGCAATAATGAAGTGACATTTATTTTTCAATAACACATCAACTAAACTCAGAAAAAAACAATTTTATAAAATTTCAGTTTTTTCCAGATTTCGCTGGAATATTTCAACCCTTCATTTTATTGGACATAAAATTGCGCGACTTTGCCCTATAATTTAACCGACCTCGTATCTTCAATAATAACCAAGTTACCTCTGGTTAGCAAAATAGACACACTGTATATTTTTTTACGACCCTGTATAATATGTTCTAAGTATGGTTTCACATGCGTCATAATTGTAGTGTTTGTTTCGAAAAAAAATAATGACATCAAAAGCTTTATTTTATATAAAATCGCATAACTCATGAAATCATAGTGGGCTGCGTAATTCAAAAAATCTCAAAAACGTCCCGAAGTACTGAGGTACTCTTCTAAACTGAATACCAAAAATTTACTTAACCCTCCCTCCAGCAGAATGGGGTGAACCCAAATTTTCGTAAAGAAATCGCCAGCTTATGTTTCCCCTGTATCTTTCAGCAGGTGGACGGCAAGATGTTAGCAAATGAAAATTAATTAGCAATTAGAGCAGCCTTTCACTCCTGAAAATTTAAACAAAATCGGCTTGCTAGGTTTTGAGTTATGATCTTACAAGAAGTGACCGAAAATTGGGGTGTGCGAGTACGATTGATGCGTAGAAATTCACCTGACCGTCTTTCTACCGCTTGCACATTCAAAAATGCGATGGTATTCTGCATACACATTGATGTTTTTTTTCGCGCGTTCATGTATGTGCGTACATGTTTTCAGACATCCACGTCCGTAAGTAACCGCCTTTACACACAAATCACGGTACCGTTCTTCATTCATACTTTCTATCATTAAAATTACCAGTTCAGTCTACACATTCCGGCAAATAACCTCCCTGCCTCCAAACTGTCACGCCACCACCACCAAAAGCCTCTTTTACTTCCATGCATTCTTTTCTGTAGCTCTTACGCGTTTCTTTAAGGCGGTTACACACGGACGTGGATGTCTTAATACATATACGTGCATACATCAACGTGCAGACAACAACGTGCATGGCTCTTTGTACAGACGCTCGCACAAAACTGCAGTCTTGCTATTCTTGCTACAGTATTCCGAGTGTGCATACAAAATTGCACATTCAAAAACGCGACGGAATTTTGTGTACACATTGATGTTTTTGTTTGCGCGTTCATATATGTTGTGCAAAACCACATAATGGAAGATAAATAACTTGATAATTAGTGGACTGTATAATTAGGTGGACTGGATAATCGACTGGATAGGGAACTAAAACACACGCGCTTTTCACTGACACTATATTTACAACAATTTACACAATATTTACACTATTTACAATTACTACTACAAGATGACAAGAAGCCAGAGCTTGCTTAGATGCCCAACAGGGCAGAGCTAGATTATAAAATTTATTAAAAATGTGAAAAGGTTTCTGGATGCTTGTTAACGTGGACAAGCTCCAAGCTACACT